TGGACTCTGAAAAACAAACTGAGGGTTCTAGAGGGGAGGGGGGTGGGGGGATGGATTAGCCTGGTGATGGGTATTAAAGAGGGCACGTACTGCACGGAGCACTGGGTGTTATACGCAAACAATGAATCATGGAACACTACATCAAAAACAAATAATATAATGTATGGTGATTAACATAACAATAAAAAAGTTTTAAAAAAGTATATGGCAAAATGTTTCCATATGTATCAAGCCTAAATATCTTTGCAATAAATAACAGAATAACTCTATAGATACTACTAAATTCCAGGTTATTTTGACAAGTAAGGTTATTCAACTGCTTATTCTTACTCTCCAGGCATTAATTCCATATGAAGAGAATACAGTGATAACATTCTTTAAGTCTCTGTAATAAATTTGGAATGGTTATAAACCTGAAATGTTAACCCGTAGTTAAAATAAAAATTCTCATAAATTAATTCATCACTTAAGAAGTATTTTGATTTTTAAGCAGGGTTCTATTTGTCTCTTCAATTCTGATGGTGTGAAGTGCTGTAATTATGAACCAAAACCTTCTGCAAAATCTCTCTGAGGCACTTATACATAGGAGAATACTTTTGTTCTTAAAATAGAAATGTGATCCAGAGGATAGAACAGGGGCTTCTGAAGAAAGACAGGCTTGCATTTGAATGTAAGCTCTGCCATTTGCCAACTCATTGTACCTTAAAGTGGGAGTAAAATAAAACCTACCTTATAATGTTATTATAAGAATTAAAGGAAATGTCTGTAGAACACCTAACATACAGGAAGTGCTTAATAAATGTTAGTTTCCTCCTGCTTCTTCCCCAGCTGGCAAGCAATGGGTGAGAAAGCAACATGAGGAAGGAAAGTGAGAAGCCTCTTTTCTTAGGAACTATGGCCTTCATCAAAGCCAAGGATTATCATTTAAGAACCATTAATGATGAGACTGAGAACAATCCTTCAGCTGTCCTCTTTTTCTCAGAAAAATATGCAATTTAGGTTTATTTAAAAATTAAATATATTCACTTATTTCTCCAGAGGTAGAAGATTCACCACTGAGTTGTCGTCTTCTACGTGGGGTCAGCAGAATTTCTGAAAAATACAGAAAACATTTAGGATACTTAGAGTATCAATCTGAGTAAGAGCACATCAATTCCATTAATATGGTATTTCCTACCCCACCCCCAATGGGAATTCTTAGATGGATTAGGAAGAATTTTTAAACCACCAGAGACTAAATCTGTTCCCTGGGTACATCTTAAAACGCTGGTTGCTCAGAGACATTTTCTTTTCAAAATTTTGCCCTCTAGCTTTTTAATATATTTAATGTTCTAGATCACAGTTCAGAAGGCATAGTCATAATTACAGTTTCAAAGCTGCAGAATTAATTACTTTTGTTACAGATAAGTGATTTCCTTAGTTCACTTTTATATCTGTCTTCAGCTTCCACAATGACTTTATGACGATCACATTGGTATGGGCAAGAGTGCAAGAGCTTGCTAAAATTTCGGCTATTCAGAGATTTTCCTACTGCTATGCAACCTAAAAGAAAACAAATTAAAGTGATGTATAGATGTTACAAAATATCTAATAACAAAAATCTATGAAAGCAAATATCTTTATGATGGTAACTGAAGTGAAATCAGGAACTTAATTATAAATATGTCAAGAAGCTCAGTCATAGGAGAGATTAAAGACAAGGGATACAATACAGTGAAATAAGTGTTACAATAGAGGTGTGAACAGTTAGGGTGATATATAAAAGGACCACCTAGCTTGGTTCTGAGCGGGAGTCACTATTAGGAAAGATATCCAAAACAAGTGACCCTTATGCCCGGTTGTCTTTTCCCCCCCAATGTTTTATTATGGAAAATTTTAAACACACAAGAGTAAGGGGAAAAGTATAATGAACTTTCACATATCCATCATTCACCTTCAATAATTATTAAGTCATGCTCAGTCATATTTTGCCTACAACCCACTTACTCTGCTCTGCCCTCCATGTATACACTGGATTATGGAGGCTGGAATTGGCATTAAAGTATCATTTCATCTGTAAATACTTCATATGCAACCCTAACAGAAAAGGGCTTCTTTTTCAAACACACAAGACCATTATCAAGCCTAAAAAAATTATGCCTAATATAATCTAATATCCAGTCAGTGTTCAAATTTCCCCATCATTTCAAAACTTTCTTTTCACAGTTAGTTTGTTTAAACCATGATCCAAAGAAGTTCCATCATTACATTCAGTTGAAATGTCTCTTGAGTTTCTTTTAATCTATCAATTCTCCTCTCTTCCTCCTTGTCATTTACTTGATGTAAACACTGGGTCATTTCTACTATGGAGCTACTCAAAGGCTCGGTTTTGTTGATTTTATCCTAGTTAGATGCTTTAAAATGTTCCTGTGTATCCAATAAACTAGTAATTAGATCTGGATGATTGATAAGATTCAGATTCAATTTTTTTAAAGATCTATCTTATTTTTAAAGATTTTATTTGAGAGAGAGAGCAAGTGAGTGAAGGAGTACGAGTGGGGGGAGGGGCAGAGGGAGAGGGACAAGCAGACTCCTGACTCCCGCTGAGCAGGGAGCCAGATGTGGGGCTCGATGAGCAGGGAGCTGGATGCGGATGCGGGGCTTGATCCCAAGACCCTGAGATCATGACCTGAACCAAAGGCAGACGCTTAACCGACTGAGCCACTCAGGCACCCTTATATTTTTTTTTTTTTTTTTTAAGATTTTATTTATTTCTTTGACAGAGAGAGACACAGCGAGAGAGGGAACACAAGCAGGGAAAGTGGGAGAGGGAGAAGCAGGCTTCCCACCTAGCAGGGAGCCCGATGTGGGGCTTGATCCCAGGACCCTGGGATCATGACCTGAGCCCAAGGCAGACGCTTAACAACTGCGCCACCCAGGCGCCCTGGGGCACCCTTATTTTATTTTATTTTAGAGAGAGAGAGAAAGAAAGAGAGGGAGCAGGGGGAGGGGCCAGGGGGAGAATCTCCAAGCAGACTCCCTGCCAAGCCTGACACGGGGCTTGATCCCATGACCCTGAAATCGTGACCCAAGCAGAAATCAAGAGTTGGATGCTCAACCAACTGAGCCACCCAGGCCCTCAGATTCAATTGTTTTTAGTAGAATTCCTCACAGGCAGGACTGAGAACTTCTTTCTGCATCATTTTAAGAGGTACAGAAAGTCTTTTTTTTTTTTTTAAAGATTTTATTTATTTATTTGATAGAGAGAGAGAGAGCACAAGCAGGGGGAGCAGTAGAGGGAGAGGGACAAGCAGGCTCCCCGTGGAGCAGGGAGCCCGATGCGGGACTCGTTCCCAGGAGCCTGGGATCATGACCTGAGCCGAAGGCAGAGGCTTAACCATCTGAGCCACCCAGGCGCCCCAGAAGTCTCTCTTTTTTTAATGTTAAGATTGATCAGTAGGTTCAGGTGACGTTAGTCACTTCCATCCATTATAAAGTTCCCCATCTGCCAGTCACCTAATGTTATGAGTGGCCCACTCCTAAAAGACTATAAGTTAGCCAGGAAGAAAGCTGGCTGAGATAAGGACATTTCAAGTACAATGAACATGTGCAAAAGCCTAAAAAAGTGAAAAAGCACAGCATGGTCAGAGAATTATAGGTACTTTGGTGTGGCTAGAGAGAAATGTGGGAGGAAAGTTGAAGCTAGTGAAGCTTGCAGGGGGCCAGATAAGAATGTCTTGCCATACTAAGTATATCTAACTATCTTCAAGTCAGAGGGGAGGAATTAAGGATAATTATTAAGCAAGGAAATGATTTTCATTTGTCTCATAGAAAGCTTAGGTGAAGGTAAGAGGATCAGTTGAGGGGTTACTTCAATAATCCAGAATATAAATGAGAGGATTCCAAAACAGGACATTTACAAGGAGAAGGTAGAGATTTCTGAGGTAAAAACTGGTGAATGATGAGCTGCTGGGGTAAGGGAAAAGCTTAGGATAATTCTTAAGTAATCTAATAGTTGATTGAATGACAAAGTTTGGAATAAGCATGGCAACTTTCTGGCAGACTTAAAGAGAACAAATATGCAATAAAATTTAACAAGTGGAAGCAGAACAAAATTCCACAAAAAGCCAGGCAGAGTTTGAGTCAATGAGTTACAGAGAAGCACTGAGAGTTCTTTTGGCTTGATGACATGATAAAAAGCACATGTTAGGGCGCCTGGGTGGCTCAGATGGTTGAGCGTCTGCCTTCGACTCAGGTCGTAATCCCAGGGTCCTGGGATCGAGTCCCACAACGGGCTCCCTGCTCAGTGGGAAGCCTGTTTCTCCCTCTGCCTCTCTCTCTCTCTCTGACTCTCATGAATAAATAAATAAAACATTTAAAAAAAAAAAAGCACATGTTAGAGAAGTTAACAGCAACATGAACATTATAGTTGGGGGTTGGTGAGACTTCAAACTGCAGGACTGCTAGAAAGTTGGTGTAACTGAGCATGAAGCAAAAAGGGCCTATGTGGGAATGAAAGAAAGAACCAAATTTGACAGACTAGAAATAGGAGATGTAAAGAGGAAAAAATGGTTATAGATAATTGAAATCTGGAAGGCTAGAAGAATAATAACAACGCTAACAGAAATGGAGTGGCTACAGGGAAGGCAATTTAACAGGGAGGAAGATGCGGTTTTATCACAACCACTGAAAGCCCAGCTCCACAAAGACGACATCATCACAAGGAATGTAGTGCAATCTAATGCTGAAACTGTAAATGACTTTGAGCTAGTAGTGCCTGTGGTATCCAAAAGATGTTGACAATTTTGTGTTTCACTTAAAATTTAAAGTATTGTGTAGTGCCCTTGTGAGTTCACTGCACACCTCCAGGGAGCCTGGGTGGACGATCTGGGAAGTTTGTCTTTAAACTACTGAGAGGAGAAGATTTCAAGGAATGGCAGTCACCAGCACAGAGATACTAGAGAGGATAAGAATTTTTTAAAAAGTCTTCGGTTTGGCCAGGAAAAAAAGAGACTTCAGGAAATCTTTAACATTTAGGTTTAGTAGAATGGCAATAAAAGAAGCCAGACTGCAGGGAGTTAAGAAGGGAGTTCATACAATGAAAGAGAAAGGAGAAAGAGCAGGCTGTCTGGTAATAAATGATGAAAGAAAGAGTGGATGGATACTTGAAGAGACAGCAAGTCACATCAAGTATTTAATATTTTTCCCCTCTCTCTCTTTTTTAAATTTTTATTTACTTAAGTAATCTCTAAACACAACGTGGGGCTCAAACACACAACCCTGAGATCAAGAGCCTCATGCTCCTCCAAATGAGCCAGCCAGGAGCCCTTAGATTTTTCTTTTTTAGTCGAAGAGAAATCAACATAGTTTAAGGTGGGCCAAAAGGGGTTAATGAATAGAAAGGTAATGAAAAGAAAGATTTCACAAGTATTAAAGTGGGGAGGAAAAAAGTGATAGGATGCAGATGATAGTTAGATGTAGCTAATTTTAGAGTAATAGAGACAAACTCTACATCCAAGACTAAAGAATAGTGTTATTTCAAGCCTACTATAGAATAGCCTCAATTTTGTCCATAGAGCAAAGTGTGACACTAAAAGAGGAAATATCAGGGTATGGAGGAGAAGGGGCTGGGTTAAGCATTGTGGGTTAAGCATTGTGGCACATTTACAGGAGACCTGCAGAAAAAATAAAATAATGGGGCGTGGAACACTAAAAACATTTACACATTAAATATAGACATAAAAATAGATATTGTTTAATACTTAATGTCTTATGTTTAGAGAATTATCCAGAATACATACCTATTGGCTCTCTGAAAATATAAAAAATGTCTACCTTACTCAGAAAAGTTAAACTTGTAGATGGTATTGTGACAAAAATAGAATAATAAAGTAATAAAGTATTAGATGTGGTGAATCATATAAATAAATATTGGAAGCACAGGCTAATGCAGATAGGTATTGATTTGAGTGTTTTAAGATATTCCAGATTGTTATTTTTCCAAAGGAAATGAAGTTTAAATCACACAGGCAGAACTACTACAAATCCTAGTTAACTAATTTCATACAAAGTTTTAATTGCAAAACAAATGTAATTAAAGAATATTTACCTGAGCATCTATACTTTAACATTTTGGAATGATTGTCAGTTGCTAGAAAACCGATGACTTCTTTATTTATTATATCTGAACATAATGTAAATGGATCTGGAAAAAAAAAACTGCAACACGTAAGATTCTTCTGATTGATGAAAATGACCTGACATTTACACGATATGTTAATTCTCAAGATTTTCATAAACTTTAGCACAGTACTACATATCCAGTCACCCTGGCAGATAAACAGAAAGGTTCTGGTTATCAGTAAAAGGCGACTGAGGCACTTACACCAGAAAGAGAGTCAAAGGTGTGGCTCATATGTTAGAAGGCAAATTTACCAATGTACATTTTTAGCTATATTATCCACCTAAATATGTTTTCTTAAAAAAATCAAAGAAGAAATATTTTTAATCATACCTGTTACTGGTAACTGCTGCTTTCTATTTTTGACAACGGGAATTGGATGTTTAAAAACATGGTCACTAAAAGAAAACAGACACCAGATATTTAAAAGTAAACATAGTGTTTGGTGTGTGGACAAATGTTTCTGTAGGCAGTAGTGCATCTGGGTGTTTGGCAGGCAGAAGGAGATGGAACCAGGGTCTACCAAAGTCTATCAAATTCTGCCCAAGTAGTGTTTGTAATGGTTATAGCCTCCTTTCCAAAAATGGAGTTAAATAAGACTCTGGGGGTGCCTGGGTGGCTTAGTTGGTTGAGCGTTTGCCTTGGGCTCAGATCATGATCCCAGAGTTCAGGGATTGAACCCCACGTCCAACTCCCTGCTTGGTGAGGAGTCTGCTTCTCCCTCTGCCCTTCACCCTGATCATGCTCGCTCTCTTTCTCTCAAAAAAGTAAATAAAATCTTAAAAAAAAAAACAAACCCACAAGACTCCAAAGGGCAATAATACTGATGCCAGCAGAAACATGGGGGAAAAGTTATAAAAGAGGAAAACATGGGACACCTGGCTGGCTCGGTTGGTAGAGCATGAGACTCTTGATCTCAGGGTCATGGGTTCGAGCCCCACACTGGGTATAGAGATTACTAAAATAAATAAATAAACTTAAAAAAAGAAAAAGGAAAACAGGAAAGAATGAGGCGGAAAAAAAAAAAGGAGAGAAGAGAATCAGAGAGCAAGAAGGCTGGCCCAAGAACACATCTCAATGCTTTCCAATTCCATATCCCTGAGAAATCAAGTTAAAATTGACATCAAGAATAGTTTTGCAAAGGAAAAAAGGGGTGATGATGATGTAATCCATCTTCTTAATATCCTGTTCACCCTGCAACCTTCCCAGAATATAGCAGCATACTCTTCAGTTTCCCTCCCAGCACAGTGACCATCAGAGAAGAGAACACAAGTAAGGGTTTAAGAAACACTACAATCCCAGGTCTGGCTCCACAAGCTCCCTGAGGCAGAAAAGACATCAACTGGAGGTGAGGTGCAAGGAACAAGTGAAAAGGCAAGCCTAAGCCAGATTTTCATCACACACTCCTCCCTTTTATCAAATTAAATTTAGAAACTGGTTTTTGCTACATTGCTAACGGATTATCAGTGTACACATTGTTACTTCAGGTATAGGGTTTCAGGTTAACTTTTCTGAGTATCCTTTCTAAAATTCAAATCTGATGTCACTCAATTTAAAATCCTCAATGGCTCCCGTGCCCTATGAGGGAAAACCAAAAGTCCTGAGTATGACATGCAAGGCCCTAGATGAACTGGCCTATACCACCCCAACTAAACTCCCTTCTCAACATTTCCATTTACGCTCCTCCCAAGACCATGTTTTATCATTTCTATATCCCAGGGCTTAACAGTGTGGCACATAGTACTGCACAAAAAAATACTTGAATAAATAAAAGTTAGAAACAATTATTAAACTATACCTTGATTGAGAAACAGAATTCTTTTTTTCAAAAGTTGTTCCTTCATGTAAGTTTTGATTAGAGCTTGAATTGGCTTTACATAAAGTCTTACTTTGCCCACTCTCCCTATAACAAGCATTAACTGGATTTGCACTCTTTAACAGGGTTTTCATCTGGTGATCATTTGTACATGCTGAAGACAGAACTCCATGGGACTGATAACTCTGAAGTTTTATCGACTGCCTTTTATCTTTATCTTCTGCCGTAGGACCTCTGCCAATACTATCTGCATGGAGGTGTTTCAATGTATTTTGAATATTTATGTTCATAGATGAAACATTATCCTTATCTTTTTCTCTTTGTGTTTTTTCCTATAATATAAAAATGACAAGTAAATAATCTCAAGATAATCCATTTGCTTTATAATCCAATTTATACTCCCTTTAAATAGTGTAAGAAAAATTCATGATTAGCCAAAGAATATACATAATAAAAGGGACAGTTTACATTAGAAGAAAAGGGAATATATTTATTTATTTATTTATTTTTTAAAGATTTTATTTATTTATTCATGAGAGACAGAGAGAGAGAGAGGCAGAGGGAGAAGCAGGCTCCCAAGGAGCAGGGAGCCCGATGCGGGACTTGATCCCAGGACCCCGGGATCATGACCTGAGCCGAAGGCAGACGCTTAACCACCTGAGCCACCCAGGCGCCCAAGGGAATATATTTAATAGATAATCTGGGGACAACTGGGGAAAAAATAAATTGGATCCCTATCTCAGAATTTACACAAAAATAAAGTCAAAATGAGCTAAATATTGTCATGTAAAAAATGCAATGTTATATTTTAAAAGAAAACATAGTATTTTAACACTGTTAAGAGGAAGAAGACCTTTCCAAATATCACAAAGAACCAATAAATCATAAAAGAAAAAAACCAAAAATACTTTTTCAAAGTTCTGCTACAGACCAGAACAGAGTGGGTGGGTGGGGGAGGAACTCAGAAGAAAAGAAGGTCAGAAGTCAAATGATAATCAACCCATATAGAAAGAATATGTAGGGCGCCTGGGTGGCTCAGTTGGTTAAGCGACTGCCTTCGGCTCAGGTCATGATCCTGGAGTCCCGGGATCGAGTCCCGCATTGGGCTCCCTGCTCAGTGGGGAGTCTGCTTCTCCCTCTGACCCTCTTCCCTCTCATGCTATCTCTCATTCTCTCTCTCTCAAATAGATAAATAAAATCTTTAAAAAAAAAAAAAAGAAAGAATATGTAGAAGTCATATCTTAGGGTATGATTTTTTTCTATTAACATTTATAAAAAGCTACTACAATGAAATATGAACAAGATTAACAATAGTGTAGAAAAACAGGAAAAGGAGATGAACAGTTAACAGGAAAGGAAATATAAATAGCTCCTAAACATATGAAAAAATGCCCCATCCCATTTGCAATAAGCGAAATGCACAGTAAAACCACACTGAGACAGCATTCATCTAAGACACTGGCAAAGATCAAAAGGGTACAGGGAAACACTCATACATTACAGGTGGGAGTACAAATTGTACAACCTCTATGGAGAAACAATTTGACAGTATCTTTCATAATAAAACCTGTGCATATCTTTAAAAAAATCCTATAGGTAGGGCACCTAGATGGCTCCGTTGGTTAAGCAACTGCCTTCGGCTCAGGTCATGATCCTGGAGTCCCGGGATCGAGTCCCGCATCGGGCTCCCTGCTCAGCAGGGAGTCTGCTTCTCCCTCTGACCCTCTTCCCTCTCGTGCTCTCTATCTCTCATTCTCTCTCTCAAATAAATAAATAAAAAAAATCTTTAAAAAAAATCCTATAGGTATACTTGTGTAAAGGTAAGCATATCTTACTTTTATGTGCAAGTACTCAGGTGAGTGCAAAATGTTAATGTTATTAACTGCAACCCTGTTTGTAATAGCTAAAAGTTGGAAATAACCTAAATGTTCATGAGAGCTACCATATCTACCAATAGACTATTCCGCAACTGTAAATAAAGAATAAAGCGGGTGCCTGGCACGCTCAGTTGGTAGAACATGCAACTCTTGATCCCTGGGTCGTGAGTTTAAGCCCCACATTGGGCCTGGAGCCTATTTAAAAAAAAAATTTTTTTTTTTAGGGGTGCCTGGGTGGCTCAGTTGGTTGGGCATCCGACTCTTGATTTCAGCTCTGGTGGTTATCTCAGGGTCCTGAGATTGAGCCCTGGGTAGGCCCCACTCTCATCAGGGAATCTGTTTGGGATTCTCTCTCCCTCTCTTTCTGCCCCTCCCCCCAACACTTTCTCTTTAAAATAATAAAAATTTTTAAAGATTTTCTTTCTTTACTTATTTGAGATAGAGCAAGAATATGAGAGAAAGAGAGAGAGAGAGTGGGCACAGGTATGCACACAAGCGGGGGTGGAGGGGCAGGGGCACACAAGAGTTGCGGGGGGAGAGGCAGAAGCAGAGGGAGAAGCCGGTTCTCCACTGAGCAGGGAACCCGATGTAGGGCTCGATTCCAGGACCCTGGGATCATGACCTGAGTCAAAGGCACATGCTTAACAGACTGAGCAACCCAGGCACCACTAAAAATTTTTTTTAAATAAAGACAGATAAGTAAATAAGCAAACAAACAAATAATGAGGGCTTCCAGTAAAGATGATGAATTTAACACCTCTATTAATTTTTGGTCCTGAGCCCAATGGAGTAAACCAACTGAAGAATAGTTTTCAAAAAGGCATAAACCCACAAGGAGAAGGAGAAATGAAAGAAGAAATAAAGGCAACCCAAGTTTGGAAATTGGAAAGCAGGTAGGTGAATGATAACCTACTTAGCAGTCTTGATAAAGCTGAATCCAAAGCTGACAATGGGAAAAGCTAAGAAACTACCTAGGATGGGCTGCCCAAACTCTCAAAAGACTTAGGAATTGGAGGTGCTGGAACCTCTAGAAGATGGGATGAAGATGGGGCTTAAAAATAGGAAAACTGGATGAAAGTCTGTTTAAGAAATAGTTGGATTACAGGGGTGCCTGGGTGGCTCAGTCAGTTGAATATCCAACTCTTGATCTCAGCTCAGGTCTTGATCTCAGGGTTGTGAGTTCAGATCCAGCATTGGGCTCCAGGATGAGCGTGGAGCCTACTTAAAAAAAAAAAAAAAAAGTAGTTGCATTATTAGATCTCAACCCGTCTATTTATGCACACTTAACAGGCAGTTGACTGACACCAGAAGGTCCTCTCCTTCCCCAAAGTTGAAAGTTCAATCTCTGGAAGGGATAAAACAGTTTCTACACTGGAGGACACCAAACAAGGCTGAAGGCAGAACACTATTCAAGAAACAAATCTAAGCAAATATTCACATACTGAATACTAAGACCCACAAGCTTTCTTCTCCCATTTTGATTCCAGAAAACTGGTTGACAATCTCTAGGCAGGAGATTAGACATTGGAGGTTCTCCCCAAAAACGACTCATCTAACTGATCCTATGAGAATCCATAATCAACAAATTTTCCGAAAGACTTTCAGTATCTGACTCTTAAATATGAGTAGCAACCAAAGACCACGAGAAATATGAAGAAAGCTAGAGACCAAGGAATGAAGGGAGGGAGGGAGGGAGGGAGGGAGGGACGGAGAGAGACAGGAAGCAAGCAAGCAAACAAACAGGCAAGCAAACTCAGAGGAAAAAGATGGAGTAGGAAGAAAAAAATTTTTTAAAGATTTATTTGGGAGAGGAAGGGAGAGAAAGAGTGAGAGACAGAGTGTGCACATGAGCAAGGGGAGGGGCAGAGGGAGAGGGAGACAAGCAGTCTCCCCGCTCAGCATGGAGCCTAATGTGGGGCTTGATCCCAGGTTCCAAAGATCATGACCTAGCCCAAATCAAGAATTGGATGCTCAACCGAATGAGCCACCCAGGTGCCCCAGAAGAAAAAAATTTTTAATGAAAATTATCACTGAGGGGCACCTGGGTGGCTCAGTTGGTTAAGTGGCCTTCTCTTGGTTTTGATTCAGGTCATGATCTCAGGATCTTGGGATTGAGCCCTGCATCATCGGGCTCTGGGCTCAGTGGGGAGACTGCTTCTCTGCCTCTCTTTCCCTCTCTCTCTGCTCACACTCTCTCCTTCAAATAAACAGGTAAAAATTAAAAAAAAATTATCATTGATATATTTAAGAGAAGAATGCCAATGATGTCTTAAGTCCATGAAATAAGAGTAAGATTTAAATGGAGTAAAAAAGAGGCTTTGGTAACTACAAATATGAAAGCAGAAGTGAAAAACATATTTGTTTAAAAAGTAAATATGAGGTGCCTGGGTGGCTCAGTCGTTAAGCATCTGCCTTTGGCTTAGGTCATGATCCCAGGGTCCTGGGATCAAGCCCCGCATCAGGCTCCCTGCTTAGCGGGGAGTCTGCTTCTCCCTCTCACACTCCTCTGCTTGTGCTCCCTCTCTCTCTGTGTCTCTCTCTGTCAAATAAATAAATAAAATCTTTAAAAAAAAATAAAATAAAAAGTAAATATGAGAACACGTCCTAAAATGTAGAAAAAAGAGGATGACATGGACTCCAGGAAACAGGAAATCAAACTAGGAAGGATAAAAAGAACATTACGAGATGACAGTAAAGGAGTATCCCAGGGTAACAGTTGTATACTTGGCCTACAGGGTGTACTAGTTATTAATTTATTGCTCCTCAACTCCCAACCCAACCTTCTTTGCCTTACATTGTAAAACTGAAACTAGGCTCAATGGACTGCTATTCTACAGCTAGCAATGATGTTAGTCTCTGTTATTAGCAAGTGCTGGGAAGACAATACAAGACTGCAAGAGAAAGAAGGGACTTTTTCTCCTTTTGGTGTTCTGTTGTTTGAGTGGTGGCAAGTGGAAATAGATACACTATGAGAGAGGTTCATAATTTCTTTAAGGTATAACTGTCCAGTGATTCCACTCCTAGGTATTTACCCAAGAGAAATGAAAATGTAAATTTCACACAAAGAAGTACAAGCCAATGTTCACAGCAACATTATTCATAGTGGCCAAGATCTAGAAGCAATCCAAATATCCATCAACTGGTGAATAAACAAGTTGTAGTACATTCATACTATGGAATATTCAGTCCACAATAAAAAGGAGCAAATATTAATAAAACAACATTGATGGATCTCAAATACATTACACATTAAGTAAAAGAAGTCAAACACAAAAGATTATATAATATATAATTCCACTTATGTGAAATTATAGAAAAAGAAAACTAGTGACAGAAAACACATCAATGACTGCCTGGGCCTGAAGATGGGGACTGGGACTGTCTACAAAAGGACACAAGGAAACATTGTAGGGTGAATGAACTGTTCTACTATCTTAATTGTCATGAGAGTTATGCAATGGTATAAAATTATCATAACTCAAACCGTATATTTAAAATGTGTGATTATCACTGTATGTAAATATCTTACTAAAAATATTTCAGAAAAATGATTGTTTAAAGGAAAAATAATATTACTGAGCAGTTTATAACAATGTAGCAGTAAAATAATACATGGCAAAAACAGCACAAAGAACAAATGGAAATGTAAGCATGCTATTTCAAGCATCTTTTTTTTTTAAAGATTTTATTTATTTAAGAGAGAGAGAGAAGAGAGAGAAAGTACATGAGGGGGGGAGGGTCAGAGGGAGAAGCAGACTCCCTGCTGAGCAGGGAGCCCGATGCGGGACTCGATCCCGGGACTCCAGGATCATGACCTGAGCTGAAGGCAGTCGCTTAACCAACTGAGCCACCAAGCATCTTATAATACACATGAGTGGAATAATATTAGTTGAATATAGACCATGATCAGTTAAAGATGTATAGTATAAACCCTAAAGCCACCACTTAAAAAAAGAGGAATGTTTAGCCAATAATCTAAGGTGAGTTAGAATTTTTAAAATAATATAAATGAAGAAAGGAGAGTAGAAAAAAAGGAACAAAGAACAAATGGTACAAATAGGAAAAAAGTAGCAATATGGTAGACTTAAACCCAAACATACCAATACTTACATTAAACATAAATGAAGAAGTGATCATATCAATTAAAAACTAGAAACTGTCACAAAGGATAAAAAAAGACCAAACTATATGCTGTCTACAAGAAACCCACGCTAACTATAAAGACACAGATTACAAGTCAAGAATATGTCCATCAGGGGGCGCCTGGGTGACTCAGTCGTTAAGCATCTGCCTCCGGCTCAGGTCATGATTCCAGCGTCCTGGAATCGAGCCCGCACTGGGCTCGAGAAGCAAGTCTCCTTCTCCCTCTCCCACTACCCCCTGCTTGTGTTCCCTCTCTTGCTGTGTCTCTCTCTGTCAAATAAATAAATATTTTAAAAAAGAATATGTCCATCAAGGAACGGATAAACAGAATGTGATATATATATATCCATGCAATGGAAAATTATTTGGCCATAAAAAGGAATGAAGTGCTGATACATGCTAAAACATGGATGAGTGTTGAAAATATGCTAAGTGAAAGAAGCCCGTCACAAAAGATCACATATTACATAATTCCATTCATATGAAATGTCCAGAATAGGCAAATCTATATATACAAAGAAGATTGTGCATGGCTGGGAATGGGGGATGCAGGGAAATAGCTAAAGGATACAGAATTTCTTTCTGAGGTGATGAAAATATTCTAAAATTGACTATAGTTTCACATATCTGTAAATACACTAAACACTACTTAATTGCATACTTAAAATGGGCAAATTGTATGGTATATGAATTATATCTCAATAAAGCTTTTTTAAAAGGAATGAAATACTGATATAAACATGCATAAGCCTTGCAAACATTATGCTAAATGAAAGAAACCAGTCACAAAAGCCCATATATTATATGATTCTTTATATAAGAAGTCTAGAATAGGCAAATATATAGAGACAGAAAATAGTTTAGTGGTTGCTTAGGATGGGAAAGTGGGGAGAACGGATGGGGGAAATAGGAAGGCTGACTGCTAAAATGTATGGGATTTCTTTTGGGGGTGATAAAAATATTCTAAGATTGTGCTAATGGTTGCACAATTCTGTGAGTATACTAAAAACCAATGAAATATATACTTTAAACAGGTCAATTGAATCAAATGTGATTTACATCTCAGTAAAGCTGTTACACACACACACACACACACACACACACACACATGTAGCAGGATGTTTATTCTAGAGTTGTCTACACTGGTGACAGATTGAATATAATCTGAATGTGCCTCAACAAAAGACTAGTTAAATAAATTTATGATCATCTATAATAATGAATATTAGTCATTTAAAAGAATGAAATTACTATACTATTATACTAAGTTGAGCACTATGCTTTTATTTTTATAAATGCATGCACAGGGGCGCCTGGGTGGCTCAGTCAGTTGAGCATCCAACTCTTGACCTCAGCTCAGGTCTTGATCTCAGGGTCATGAGTTCAAGCTCCATGTTGAGCTCCACAGTGGGCTTGGAGCCTACTTAAAAAATAAATAAATAAAAATGCATGCACATACAAAGACACAAAGTGTACATTCACAGAAAAAATAGTGAAATGTGCATATACACATACATATACATATATGTAAAGAGAGGGATTATTATTTCTCCATCCTTTTTCTAACTCTTATTATACAAACGTTAGATCTCTATTTTCCATGTCTCTTATTTTTTGTCATCATTTCCACCTTTTAAATTTTTTTTTTCCTATGTTCAAAGATGGTTTCCCAAGTATCAATTGAATTTTAAATTTGAAACCATTAAAATCTGGGGCACCTGGGTGGCTCAGTCGGTTAAGCATAAGACTTGATTTTAGTTCAGGTCATGATCTCCTAGGTAAGGGGACTGAGCCCTGTGTCAGGCTCCAAGCTCAGTGGGGAGTCTGCTTGAGGTTCTCCCTCTCCCTCTGCCCCTCCCCCCACTCACAAGCTCACTCTCTTTCTCTCACTAGAATAAATCTTTTTAAAAAAACATTAAAATGTAAAAAAACAACTTAGCAAGAAAAATCTTTTACCCTCCAACCTCTACTGTAGAAAAATACTTGAAAAAAGTTCTATATTCCTTGAAACAAAAAAGCCAACCTCATTTCTTTCTCTTTCAAGCTGTTCTATTCTGTGTAGAATTTCCTTTGCCTTCTTCCAGTACTCTTCAAGGTTCTTCTCTCTCATATTTATGTCTTTTAATTGTTCTTCATTTTCATCAAAAGAGTATTCTCCTAGACTTAGAGATAATTTCTCAGCTTTGTAATATGGGAAAAAATAGTGAATTTATCCATTACTAGAACTGTTTTTTTTACAGTTTAAATATAATTTTAACACTTTAAATAAGAACTACCTCATACCCCACACCCTCTTCTCTAAATTTTCCCCATGCAGACTATCTTAAATGTCTAGGTGGTACTGAAAATAAATGGAAAGCAAGTACTTGGCAGAAGCCCAAGCTCCAGTCATAAGTTAGACTTTACTCATCAGAGGAGTATAGGAGAAAGAACATCATGAAAATACATTATGCCAGGTACATAAACATCCCCAAGTATGTAGATACCAGTTTTAGGTTTTTGTTTTTTTTTTTTTTAACAGTTTTCATAACACAGTTCCTTCCTTTAATCTTTTAAGTTTTATTTTTACGTATTTCAGCAGCAATTCTTCTTCCACAAAGCCCAATTCAATGGTCATCATTTCTTCCATGAATGCTCCCTCCTATCACAAGGTCTTTGTGCCTCACTGTTGCTTATGGCTGACCGAGTTAACACTATACATTCAGATCTCAGCTCAAGAATCACTTCCTCCGACAAATAATACATTATATGTTTAAAAAAAAAGATAGTAGGAAGGGAAAAATGAAGGGGGGGAAATCAGAGGGGGAGATGAACCATGAGAGACTATGGACTCTGAGAAACAAACTGAGGGTTCTAGAGGGGAGGGGGGTGAGGGGATGGGTTAGCCTGGTGATGGGTATTAAACAGGGCACATATTGAATGGAGCACTGGGTGTTATATGCAGATAATGAATCATGGAACCCTACATCAAAAAAAAAAAGAAAAAAAAGAGAATGTCCAATGGAAAAAAGAGAAAAAAAAAAAAAAGAATCACTTCCTCCGAAGCCTTTTCTGCTCCAAGTCTAGGTCACAGTCTTTTGTTATATGCTAAGATCTATGCTCCATCCATTCCTAACCCTTCAGTTAATATTTAACAATTCATTTATTTTTGAGATTATTCAAGGACTATTTATCTAGTTAAACGAAGCTCTAGGGTACAGACGCTATCCCTAAAACCTAGCACAGTGCCTGGCAAATAATGGGCGCTCGAACATTTTTTTAAATAAATAAACAAATGCACTTTATAATTTAACCATAAGTCACCTGTAGGCCTCAAATTTAAGTCCTACAACTAAACTGTCCACATTGCATAAAATAAGTGAATTATCTATACTGTTGCCCTCTTCCAGATAGGTTGAAATGCTGAAATACTCTTGCTGTCATGTCCAAATTATATACTCTGCTTTTCAAATTAAGAAGCACCTGGGAACCTAAAGGGTTTGGCTCATTAAAGCAGATATAAACTCCCCTTCATAAACTTTGGTATTTTTTTAAGTAACAATAAACTTACTAATTTTTTTGCAATTGTGAAGCACAAAAGTGGCAGCTTTGTTCAGTTCCTCATTCTGCGATTCAGTTAAGGCTTGTATCATGAGTGGAAGCCCATTGTTTTTAAAAAGATCATACTGATTTTCCTCTGGAAAACATATCAAAAATGAAAGTAGAAAATAGTTATAGTTATTTTTTCATAAACTATCTGCATAAGGTCATAATTCTTCTTTGTGATCATTATGAACATAGTTTAAATCTTTAGAATAAAAAATAGTTTCAAAAGTATTTCCCATTTAGGAAATAATCTTCTGACATAAAATACCTGTCTCATAAGTGATGATCTCTGAAATACAGCCACAGAGTAGTCATACCTCATTAAGAGTAAAAAAACAGCCCTCACCTAGTTTAAAAAAAGGTATCGTTGAAAATAAAAAAGGTATAGTTGTCAGATTAAACCTCAATAAAAAATAAAAATAAAAAATTTAAAAGGTAGAATAAATCCAGAGCACCTGGGTGACTCAGTTAAGCATCCAACTCTTGATTTGGGATCAGGTCATGATCTCAGGGTTGTGAAATGGAGCCCCACAGCGGGGAGCCTGCTTAAGATTCTCTCTCTCCCTCTCCCTTTCCTCCCCCTCTAAAAAAACAAACAAAAAAAATGGAGATAGAAGAAGAGGAACACAGGAGGAATCTATTCCAATTACATTGGTGAAAGATGTTGAGGGGCTGAGGGCCTAAAGTGGAACTGGGCAGAAAGGGATAAGGAGGGTTATGGATGAAGGAGGATGAGGAGCAAAATGACTGGTTTGGGGCCTGAATGACTTAAAGAGAGGCAATACTTTCAAGCCTCTCATATGAAAATAAGGAAAAAACCAAAAGTGGATTTCCACTCCACTGTTTTAATAAGCACACTAAGCAAATTCAATACTAGGGGCGCCTGTGTGGCTCAGTCATTAAGCGTCTGGCTTCGGCTCAGGTCATGATCCCAGGTTCCTGGGATCAAGCCCAGCGTCGGGCTCCCTGCTCCGCGGGGGGCCTGCTTCTCCCTCTCCCACTCCCCCTGCTTGTGTTCCCTCTCTCGCTGTGTCTCTCTCTGTCAAATAAATAAATAAAATCTTTAAAAAAATAAAATAATAAAATAAATTCAATACTAACCACAATCCTCTGTGCAATGACCAAGAGTAAGTATAATGCTAAATTTTTCTCCTGAATCCAGACTTTCATGAAGCAGTAATGTCAGAAGTTTTGAAACAATCTGATACTTGGATAGTATTATTCCAAAAGTAGCTATTAGTATAAAATAGGGGAAAAAAAGTAAAAATTTAAAACTTGAAACTATACATATGCTATTTGTCAGATCTTATCCTGGAAGAACAATATCATATCAATATAATAGCTACTATTCATATCTCATACATATGTGTATGTATGTGTGAATATAAATAAATGTATTGTAATAAGATAATGGCTTATAGAGCCCTCATTAATCCCTGGTTATGGCTGGGTGAGTCAGACCTCATACTTATCAGAAAGAGGCATACCTTAATTCTTCATATAATTTTTAAAAATCCATAAATTGGGTTTTCCATTGCTTATGTTTCCAAGATGTCCCTTCATTTCTCATCTAAAGCTTTTCATTTAATACTGCTTTTTCAGTGAAATAAAGGTTTAGAAATGACAGAATCTTATCTTGTTCTATCAGTAGACTTAAAGTCAGAAGACCTCGATTTGAACCCTTAGGGAAATCATAATCTCCACATGAAAACAAGGAGTTGGACCAGATAATTTTTAAGATCCCCTCCTGCTTGTGGGACACTGAAAGTCCAATCTATGTTTGTGTTCAATCTATCATTTCAAAACTCACCATGCTGAATTCAAACAAAACTCAATTGTAGAAAAATTACTAAGCATGTTCACTCACGATTATCAGCAATACACGCATCCACTGTCTTTGTCACCACCACCGCAAGCTTAGCACTGGAAAGAGTCTTGTGTGAATCTGATTCCAGTTGCACAAGAACTTGAGACAATACATCCAGTCCACCCACAGATATAAAGTATTTCTGAACATATGCTTAAGGAATAAAGTAGCAAAACTATTAATACCTCAAATAAGACAAGTGTATGGTTCCATTCAATTAATTTGCACTAAATATGACATTCACATGACTTTTTCAAATACTAAAAATCCCAAAATTAAAGAACGAAAAATCCAATCTTTACCTGTGCATACATATAATCATAAAATGGGTCATTTCCTTAGGTAAGAAATGAACTTTTACATAGAACAACTACATATACAGTACAGTGTTTCCTGTTAGATATGTTTTTTGTCTCATTTAGCAAGAACTGGTATATTTTGCAAGAATGACATCAGTAAACTCGAAGTCTTTCAATAGAGCTATGAAGAATAGATTCATTCATTTAGCTTGGTATTGCAATTAGCAAGCTGCCTATTTTCTGAATTCCAACATAACTCATTCCTTAGATTGCTTGAATCTACAAAGGGCAAAGTAATTATTCCAAAGGAACACAGATTTTCGCCATCTTATTTAAACCTAATTCTTTTACTTCTTAGAACATAAAATTATAACATATTGAGAGACATAACAACTATTCCAAAAAAATACTCAGTGAAAAATACATTTTTTTAAAAAGTTTGAAGTGTCTTGTTCCACTGTTGAAAAGGATTCTGATGGGAAAGTATCCCATGGGTCTATGCATTCAATAGTCTTCACAGCCCCTATACAAGCAGTGGGTTTATAACAAATGGATACACGGGTTAGTGATTATAATTCTACCACAAATCTTCTTTCCAGTCTACCCTAGTATCGCAAATTGAACCAAGATTATTTTTTTTAAGATTTATTTATTTGAGAAAGAGCGAGAGAAAGAGCACAAGTGGGATGAGGGACAGAGGGAGAAGCAGGCTCTCCGCTGAGTAGGGAGCCTGATGCAGGACTTGATCCAGGGAATCCGGGATCATGACCTGAGCTGAAGGCAGGCACTTAACCAACTGAGCCACCCAGGCGCCCTGAGCAAAGATGATTTAAATGAAAAAATTACTTTTTATACTGTTTGATAAAACACAAAGATCTTAATCTAAAGAAAAAAAAAACCCATCAAGTTCAGGGACACCTGGGTGGCGTGGTAGGTTAAGCTTCTGACTACTGGTTTCAGCTCAGGTCATGATCTCAGGGCTGTGAGAGCAAGCCCTGTGTCAGGCTCCAGGCTCAGTGCAGAGTCTGCTTGGGATTCTCTCCTCCCCCTCTGCCCTTCCTGCTCATATTCTCTCTCTCTCAAGTAAATAAATATTTAAAAAATATGTATTGGGGCGCCTGGGTGGCTCAGTCATTAAGCGTCTGCCTTCGACTCAGGTCATGATCCCAGGGTCCTGGGATCGAGCTCCACATTGGGCTCCCTGCTCCGTCAAAAGCCTGCCTCTCCCTCTTCCGCTCCCCCTGCTTGTGTTCCCTCTCTAGCTGTCTCTCTCTGTGTGTCAAATAAATAAATAAAATCTTTAAAGATAAATAAATAAAAAATATGTATTAAAAAAAACATCAGGTTCAGAATTTTCTCCATCTGGGAAAGGAGCTGTTAGGAAATGTTACTGAAGGATAAGCAACCATTTTCAATATTATGGAGACTCCAAAACAGGTTTCTTTTCTGCAAAGTATTTTCATTAAAAAACAAAACAAAAACCTCTTGAAAAAGAAATACTTTTAAATGTTTAGATAAAAATGGCACTGTGTTACCACATTTTCTAGTAATAGCCTATGTAATAAAAATTCAGGCTTGTAAGCACAAGAACATCCTTGTCTACACTTGTACACTGAATATTTCAAATTTTTTTTTAAAGATTTTATTTATTTATTTGAGACAGAGAGAATGAGAGAGAGAGAGAGGGAGAGAGAGCACATGAGAGGGGGGAGGGTCAGAGGGAGAAGCAGACTCCCTGCCGAGCAGGGAGCCCGATGCGGAACTCGATCCAGGGTCTCCAGGATCATGACCTGAGCCGAAGGCAGTTGCTTAACCAACTGAGCCACCCAGGCGCCCTGAATATTTCAAATTTTATCTAATCTCTTATTTCATACGAGTTTACTAAGAGTAATGAGGTCCTAAAATTATTACTATTTCAAGTTGACTTTTAGAGAAAAAGGAAATGTCAAAGCGTCATGGAAAGAGAATTTTGGAATTATAGAGATATGTTCCTTTGCATGTGAAACATGACTACTTGCTTTAAATACGTGAATATAGGTACACACCAACAATGTGAGAAAGTTCTAGTTGCTCCACATCCTCATCAACGTTTAGTATTACTAGCCTTTCTGCTTTTAGGTATGGTGTGCGTAGTGGTATCCCTGGGGTTTTAGTTTGGATTTCTCTGATGACCAATGATTTTGAGCATCTTTTCAAAAACTTTTTCGTTGCTTATTTACAATTTAATATTCGTACCTTCTTTGGTGAAGTATTTGTCCAAATCTTCTCCATTTTTTTAATCATTAGGTTGTTTTTTGTTCTACCAATTTGTAGGAGTTCTCTATATATTTTGGGTACAAGTTCTTTGTCAGATGTACATTTCACAAGTATTTTCTTCCAGCCTATGGTTTTCTGTTTCATTTTAACATGGTCTTTTGAAGAGTTAAAGCTTTCAATTTCACTGAAGTCCAATTTCTCACTTTTTCCTTAGTGGCTCATACTTGTGTCCTAAGAAATCTTTGTCTTCTCCCAAATTATGAAGATTTGCTCCTATGTTTTTGTCTAGAATTTTACAGTTTTAGTTCTTACACTTAGGTCTGTGGATCACTTCAGGTTAATTTTTATACAGTATAAAATTAGGGTTGAGATTCATATTATGTGTACAGATATCCACTCTTTCCAGAAGCATTTGTTGAAAAGACAAATTCCCACATGGAATTATTATGGCACCTTTTTAGAAAACCAGCGACTATATATGTGTGGGTCTATTTCTGGGTTCTCTATTTTGTTCCATTGATCTAGTATGTCTACACTTAAACTAATGCCACACTTTCTTGATTACTGTATGATAAGTACTGAAATCAAGTAATATAAATCCCATAATTTTGACCTTTTTCAAAACAGTTTTGACTATCCTGGCCCCTTTGCATTTCCATGTAAATTTAGAATCAGCCTGTCAATTTCTACAGCAATGCCTGCTGGTATTTTGATGGGGAATGCCTTGAATCAAGAGATGAATTTGCGAAGTGAAATTCTAATATTGAGTCTTACAATCCATGAGTGTAATATATCACCCATTAATTTAGGTTTTCTTTATCTCAGCAATGTTTCATAGTTTTCAGCATACAGACATTGCACATATTTCATTAAATATATCCCTAAGTAGTTTTTTGATATGATTATAAAAGATAGCTTAAGTTCCTGATTGCTTGTTGCTACTACATAGAAATACAGTTGATTTCTGTATATGACCCTGTATCCTGCAACCTTGCCAAAATCATTTATTCATTCCTGTAGCTTTATTGTAGATTCTTCAATCACGTCACGTATTAATAAATACTGTATTTTCTTTTCCTTTTCAATCTCTATGCCTTTTATTTTCTTGTCTTATTTCACTGGCCTGAACACCCAGTAAAATGTTAAAGCATTGAGAGTGGCCATCCTTGTTTTTTTCCAATCTTGGGGTTGGTGGAGGGCACATTAAGTCTTTCATCATTGAATATGTTAGCTGTGTTTTGTAGAGGCCCTCTATCCCATTGAGAAGTTCTATCTATTCCTAGTTTACCAAAAGCTTTTGTCACAAATATATGTTGAACTATGTGAAAAGCTTTCCTTGCATCCTTTTAGATTGTATAGTTTTTCTTTTCTGTCATAACCTGTGAATATGGTGAATTCTCCAATGTTCAACCAATCTTGCATTCCTAGGATAAATGTCACTTGGTCATAATATATTATCCTTTCTGGATATTGCTGGATTCGATTTGTTAATATTTTTTAAAATTTTAATAACTTTTTAAAAATTTCTTTAAGTAAGCTCTGCACCCAACATGGGGCTGGAACTCATGACCCCAAGATCAAGAGCCACATGCTCTACAGACTGAGCCAGCCAGGAACCCCTTATTTGTTAATGTTTTGTTAAGGATGTTTGCATCTATATTCATAAAGGATATTGACGTACAGTATTCTTGTAAGGTCTTTTTCAAGTTTTAGTATGGGAATAATGCTGATCTAAAATGTATGGGGAAAGGGGCACCTGGCTGGCTCAGTCAGTAGAGCATGCAACTCTTGTTCTTGAGTTGTGAGTTCCAGCCCCATGTTGGGCATGAAGATTACTTAAATAAAATAATAATAAAATAAAATAAAATAAAATAAAATAAAATAAAATAAAATAAAATAAAAACATCAAAATGGGAAGTGTTTCTTCTACTTCCATTTCCTGGCAATTTATGTAGAATTTATTTTCCTTAAAAGTTTGGCATAATTCACCAGTGAACCCATCAGGGCCTGGAAATTCCTATTTTAGGTTTTCAACTACAAATTCAATTTCTTTAATATATATAATAATATTCAGGTTATCTATTTCTTCTGAGCGAGCTTTGGTGGTTGGTGCCTTTCAAAGAATTTATCCAATTCATGTAAGTTGTCAAATTTAGTGGCATAAAGTTGTTTTGATTATTCCTTTATTATCCTTTTAATATTTGTTAGGATCTAGAGTGATGTCACTTCTTATTCCTGATATTAGTAATTTGGGCCCTCTCTTTTTATTTTGTGGTTAGTCTGGCTAAAGGATCCATTTCATTGATCTTTTTAAAGAACTAGCTCTGGTTTCATTGATTTTTCCCTATTCTGTTATTTTTCTATTGCACTGATTTCTTATCTTCTCTTTATTATTTCCTTCTTTACTCTGAGTTTAACTTGATTTATTTTCTAGTTTCTTTGGTGGAAACTAATATAATTGATTGAGAGCTTTCTTCTTTCCTTATACAAACTGTAGTGCTATAAATTTCCCTCCAAACACTGCTTTTGGAATGTTTTTGCAGCAACCCAGCTTTTATTTTTTATTCATTCATTTATTTATTTTCAGCAACCCAGTTTTTTAATGTTGTGCTTTATCATTCAGTTAAAAACATTTCTAATTTCTTCATGACTTACTCTTTTTTTTTTAAAAGATTTTATTTATTTATCTGACAGAGAGATATAGCGAGAGAGGGAACACAAGCAGGGGGAGTGGGAGAAGGAGAAGCAGGCTTCCCGCGGAGCAGGGAGCCCGATGTGGGGCTCAATCCCAGGACCCTGGGATCATGACCTGAGCCGAAGGCAGACATTTAATGACTGAGCCACCCAGGCGCCCCATGACTTACTCTTTTACTCATGGGTTTGTAGGGTTTTTTTTTTTAGTCTCTTTTTTAGCACTAATTTTCAGATATTTGGGACTTTTCTAGATGTTTTATTTTTATTCATTTCTAATTTAATTATGTGTGATCAGAGAATATACTGTGTGGGGCTTTAGTTTTGCTATCTAGTTGCTCTGTTTTGTGAGGATATCTGGGGAGATTTAAAACTATGCTGCTACCTCCATCTTTCCTATTATCTTCCTAACAATGTCTATTTTCAAGATTTTCCTATCTGTAATAGTCTAAATGCAACCAAAACGACCCAACTTACTGTAATAAAATTATCTAATTAATTCAATTAACTCCATAATTAACTCATTAGGTTTTTGTTATGCTTTGAACTATGTTTCTTCAGGTAAAACTAGAGAATAATGAATACTTACTGTTATTTGCAAGAGTGAGTCCAATAAATGAGCAAACAGGGCGAATTATCTCAGGTTTGATACAATTTATTAGCCAGTCATTGGCATGTGGAAAAAGTGAACAGCAAAGCATTTGATTTTCATCTGAAAGGAGACAAAGTCAATCATGTTTTAATATATTTGGAAAATATCAGTTCATTTGTTTTATTTTATTTTTATATTTAAATATTTGAGATATTACCATTTTGAGGATTGTTGACACAGACACACAAAGTACTACACACTGAAGACCATAACTGATAGCTCTGGAATGCATTTTTATCCGACAAATTCAACTCATATTTTGAAAGAACAGTCCTATTTGGTTAAAAAAAAAAGGAAGAAGCAAATTAAAACAAATGTGTTAAAGTCTTAAATAATGAATAACAACAAAAAATTTGTATTTTCTTACCTGAACAACTGTGTCAGAACTGTAATACAACCTGTTTCTCTTACAAGTGTTTGTCCAGTCCCTTAAAAAAACAGACATATAATACACAAATAGGACTTCTGTTTATAAATAATTTTGCAGAAATGAAAAACATTTAAGTAGTATTTTTAATAAATAACTTGTAATCACTTTAAAGTATTGCAATAGATAAAAATCTGTAATTGGGGTTATACACTACCTAGGCTGTTTTTTTCTAAAGACAGCATTCAAATTTCCTCCAAAACTGAAATAAATTTTAGCTAAGAGCTACATGAAATTTAAGATTATTGTTAGCTGATATAATAAACACTGTAACTAAATGGCTAATTCAGTGGAAAATCAACCAAACTAATCATCAAATGCCTCTTTTGCTTTTAAAGCTGCTCCTTTTCAATGTTATTTAAATAACACAAATCACTTTACTATTTCTTATAATTAATAAATATCAAACAATTAAATAAATGTGATTCTCTTTTCTTTAAAGCTAGTAGTTCTCAGAAGTTAGTAAGATTTTTTAAAAAGACACTGATATAGGGGTGCCTGGGTGGCTCAGTCGGTTAAGTGTCCAACTCTTGATCTCAGCTCAGGTCTTGATCTCAGGATTGTGAGTTCAAGCCCTGCGTTGGGCTCCACGCTAGACGCAGAGCCTACTTAAAAAAAAAAAAAAAAGACACTAATATAAAGACTAGAATAAAAAGAACAAAGACTATTTCAATTTATTATTTTTGTAAATGTTTCTACACCAAGAAAGAATGTACTTACTATTATTTGAAACTAGAACCAAAATAACATAGACAGACATTCTTTTCAAATTTGTGTTTGAATCATCATTAGATAGGAACCAAGTTAAGTCTTCAAATAATTCTGAAGTGCACAAAGTCTGCTGACAGTAAACTGAAAAATAAAAATAAAATTTCAATTTCTATGCATTAGCATAAGTCTTAAAATATGCTGAACAAAATATAAAGTTGCCAAACAGATGGTTCTCAACCAGATCTCATTTCATTGACATTTATTAGTCATGCAACAAAATTTCTGAAAAATTGCTATGTGCTTACTCAATTAGCAGACCAAAAAAGCAGTACCTTAATCAGAAGTACCTGACTGAGGCTCTAAAACATGCACAAAATCTCCTAGAATTTCTAATAAATACCTAACTAGGGACGCCTGGGTGGCTCAGTCGGTTAAGTATCTGCCTTCGGCTCAGGTCATGATCCCGGGGTCCTGGGATCAAGTCCCACGTTGGGATCCTCGCTCAGTGGGGAGCCTGTTTCTCCCTCTGCCTGCCGCTCCCCCTGCTTGTGCTTGATTGCTCTCTCTCTTGCTCTCTCTGGCAAATAAATAAATAAAATCTTTAAAAAAAAAAACAAAACCCCAAACCTAACTAAACAAAAAAATATGAAAAAAAATTTAAGAGGATGAGTAAGTAACAAAACATAGCAAGAGAAAAAAAATTTTTTTAAAGATTTTATTTAAGGGCGCCTTGCTGGCTCAGTCATTAAGCGTCTGCCTTCGGCTCAGGTCATGATCCCAGGGTCCTGGGATCGAGCCCCGCATCGGGCTCCCTGCTCAGCGGGGAGCCTGCTTCTCCCTCTCCCACTCCCCCTGTTTGTGTTCCCTCTTGCGTTCCCTCTCTCCTTCTCTCTCTCTCCCACTCCCCTCTCTTGTGTTCGTCTCTCTCTGTCAAATAAATAAAATCTTTAAAAAAAATAAATAAAAATAATAATAATTTGAACACAGAGATGTAATTTGTATTTTATCCAGTATTTAGGACAAGCTATTAGACTTTCTCTCAAAGCAAAGGACCGTGTCTCATTTATCCCAATGACTAGCACACAGCTTGGTTCCTACCAAATGATGAAGAAATATTTATGGATAAAAATTTAAGGGGCATCTGGGTGGCTCAATTGGCTAAGCTATTTGACTTCTGATCTCAGCTCAGGTCTTGATCTCAGGGTCAAGTTCAAGCCCCACATTAAAAAAAAAAATGAAAATTTAAGAATAGAAAGTTGTTTGACAAACCAGTACTTTAGATTCAACTTCATTTTGGGTATAATACAGGAACAGTTTTTACCAGCATGAATTTCTATACCCAGAGTATATTTATCTATATACAAGATGCTGTAGGTTATCTTTGTTTTTTGACTCAACTACCTAGTTATATAGAGAATGAACGTAACAGAAAAACCAGAGAAAGACCCACCACATATGCAAATTCATGAAGCACTAATAGCATCTCAAATCAACATGAAAAAGATCTTTTTAATAAGAAGTGTTAGAATAGCTGGATTGCCACAAAAAAAAAGATGAAACTGGAGCATATATCATGCCATACCCCAGGATATTCAAAAGGAATTCAAAAAGGAAAATGTAAACGTAAAAAATAAAACCATATTAGGACCAAAAGTCAATGTGGGTGGATTCCCCTAGAATCTTAGAGTACGGAAAACTTTCCTATGACTCAAAATCCAGAAGCAAAAAGAAGAAAGAATGATGAATTTTATTTTTGTAAAAATAAACTTTTGCATGACAAAAAAAAGATAAGCACAGTAGAAGACAAAGTGAAACAAATGTTTCCGACTAACAGCAAGAAAAATTGTGAAAGATTTTGAAATGATTACTGAATGTCCCATCTAGCACACCCTTCTAGATCATCTGTGTCTTTCACTGTCTTTGGGCTATTTTACATCTCTGTAAATTGCAGAAAACTGATAGTAATCCAAGTCATCCTTTAAAAAAAAAAAAATTATTTATTTATTTTTAGAGAGAGTCCACGCACATGAGCACATGAGCAGGAGGCACAGAGGAAGAGGGAGAGAGATCTCACACAGAGCCCCACGCAGGGCTCAGTCTCACAACCCTGAGATCACAACCTGAGCCGAAACCAAGAGTCAAACGCTTAACCAACTGCACCACCCAGGTGCCCTAGGTTACTCTTGATCATAGAAATACAAAACATTTTGGCCAGCAGAACGCAAGTGATTGTTGCCCCGCAGATACTGACCAGTTATATGCCTACATACAAATCTATTTTAGTATTCCGTAACACCTAGGTTGTTTTTTTGTCATTGCCTTTGAAACAGTTGTCATATTTTACTGGTTCCTTCATTAGTTAACAAGTGGCGTACATGAATTTAAACAAATAAATAAAATAACTGGCTAAAACTATTCAGACATGTAAAAAAGGAACTTAATTCTAAAATTACTTTTTAGTAGTTTGTTAAAATATAGCACAATGCTTGAAGGATAATGAAAAAAAGTTTTCATATATTACCATTTTGTTCTGCAACAGCTCCTAATGTGTATAAGGCTGCTTCTTTTACCATGCTATGTTCACTTGACTTTGCAAGATTTTTTACAAACATCAAACCACCAATTTCCCTAAAATAAACACCTGCATTACCTATAGGGTGTGCAGAAAAACAAAACATAAATGATATTAAGAATCTTTTAAGGAGAAAATAAATCACATGAACTTAGTAACAAAGCATATAGAGTAACTGAGTCAAAGAGAAAGAACTATGCATATTTCATATATCACAATACTAAAGAACTAGAATCACAGATAAAAATTCAGTATCATGTCTTACTATTTTGTTGACAAATTGAATGAATAGTGACCAAAGCTTCCTTTTGTGAGAAAGGGTTGTCCATTTGATACTTCAGGCACTCCAATAATAAGTTCAGGTCAGTCTTCATTTCTGAAGAACAAAAATTTCTTCTTTTTTTAAACCAAATGTTTCTTTTCAAAAACTAACCATTTAAATTTCACTTTCTAAATGTATCTTTGTAATGTTTGTTTTTAAAATAATAAGTATATATTCCTTTTATAATCTATCAAACAGTAAAGATATATAAAAGAAAGACGTTCCTGAAATAAAAGAACTTGAAATGAAATTCTTACAACTATTAGCTTTTCCCCTTGCATGAAATAGAATACAAAATTCAAATATTATTTTCTTTAAATAAATCTACACTGGTTTAAACATCTGCCATTTAGAAATGAACTGAATGAAAATGAAAATACAACACATTGTAACTTGTGGGATGCTACCAAAAGAGTATTTGGGAGGAAATTTACAATACTAAATGCTTATATTATAAAAAAAGAAAGTTCTTGGGGCGCCTGGGTGGCTCGGTCGGTTAAGCATCTGCCTTCCACTCAGATCATGATCCCAGGGTCCTGGGATGGAGTCCCAAATCAGGCTCCCTGCTCGGTGGGGAGCCTGTTTCTTCCTCTCCCTCTGCTGCTCCCCCCTGCTTGTGTTTTCTCTCTCTCTGTCAAATAAATAAATAAAATCTTTAAAAAAAAAGGTCTCGAATTAAAGACCTCAGCTTCCATCTTAAGAAACTATAAATACAGTAAATTAAACCCAAAGTAAGTAGAAGGAAGGAAATAAAGATCAAAGCTAAAAATCAATGAGATTGAAAGCAGAAAAACATTAGAACTGGTTCTTTGAGAAGATCAATAAAACTGACAAATCTCTAGACAAACTGATGAGGAAAAAGGAGCAAAGACACAAGTTACCAATACCAGAATGAGAGATGGCATCATCATAGATTCTATATTCAAAAGATAAATAATAGTTATGCATAACTTCTTATCTATAGATTCAATGACTTAGGTGAAATGGACAAATTGCTCGAAAGACACAAATTAGGGGCACCTGGCTGGCTCAGTCAGTAAAGCATGCAACTCTTGATCTTGGGATTGTAAATTCGAGCCCCACATTGGCTGTAGAGATTACTTAAAAAAATAAAATCATTAAGAAAGACACAAATTGGGCACCTGGGTGGCTCAGTTGGTTAAGCCTCTACCTTTGGCTCAGGTCATGATCCTAGGGTCCTGGGATAGAGCCCCATATGGATCTCCCTGCTCAGCGGGGAGTCTGCTTTTCCTTCTGCCCCTGCCCATCTCCCTCTTCCTGCGGATGCGCAGGCACGCGCTCTCTCTCTCTCTCTCTCTTTCAAATAAAATCTTAAAAAAAAAAAAGAAAGAATCAAAGACACAAATTATCTAAACTCACCCAAGAAGAAATCAGATAACCTAAATATTCCTATATCTATGAAAGAAATTGAAATCACACTTTAAAAACCTTTTGTAAAGAAAACTCCAGGTTCAGATAGCTTCATTTGTAAACTCTTCCAAATGCTTAAGGAAGAAGTAATACCAATTCTACACAAACTTTTCTAAAAGTTTGGAGAAAAGGAATACTTCCAAACTTATTCTATGAGGCCAGCATTACCCTAATACCAAAACCAAAGCCATTAGAAAGAAAAAGACAACTATAGACCAATATCCCATGAACATACATGTAAAAAGTCTAAATAATTTTAGCAAACTGAATCTAAAAACATATTAAAATAACAATACATCATGACCAAGGGGGTTTATCCTAAAATTCAGGGTTGGCTTAAGATATGAAAAATCAATTGATGTAATATGACAAACTAACATGGAAAATCATATGGTTATCTCAATAGATGCAGAAAAAGCATTTGATAAAATTCAACATTCATTTCTGATAAAAAAAAAAAAGTTCAGCAAACTTGGACTAGAAGAAAACCTCCTCAATTTAAAAAAGTATATCTACAAAAAAAAGCCCTACAGTAAACATAATACTTAACAGAGAAAGACTGAATTCTTTCTCCCTGAGATCAGGAACAAGACAGAGATGTTTAACATTGTACTAGGGAGTCTAGCCAATGTCATTCTATTTAACATTCCATTTAACATTGTACTGGAGAGCTTAGCCAGTGCCATCAGGTGAGAAAAAGAAACAAAAGGCATTCAAATTAGGAAGGAAGTAATAAAACTATCTACCTTCATGTATAACATGACCTTCTATACAGATAATCTGATGGAATCTACAAAAGAGCTACTGAGTATAGTAAGGTTTCAGTATATCCATTTAACATACAGAAATCAATTACATTTCTATATATACCAGCAATAAGTAATTGAAAATTGAAATTGAAAAATAATGCTGTTTATGGGGAGCCTAGGTGGCTCAGTCAGTTGAGCATCCAACTCTTGATCTCAGCTCAGGTCATGACCTCACCAGTCATGAGTTAGAGCCTTGCACTAGGCTATGCCTTGGGCATGGAGCCAACTTTATTTTATTTTATTTAAGATTTTATTTATTATTTTTTTGACAGGGAGAGACACAGAGAGAGAGGAAACACAAGTAAGGGGAGTGGGAGAGTGAGAACAGGCTTCTGCGGAGCAGGGCGCCCGATGTGTGGCTCAATCCCAGGAACCTGGGATCATGACCTGAGCCGAAGGCAGATGCTTAACGACTGAGCCACCCAGGCGCCCCTGGAGCCAACTTTATTTTTTTATATATTTTTTAAAGATTTTATTTATTTATTTGACAGAAAGAGACACAGCGAGAGAGGGAACACAAGCAGGGAGAGTGGGAGAGGGAGAAGCAGGTTTCCCACGGAGCAGAGAGCCCGATGCGGGGCTCGATCCCAGAACCCTGGGATCATGACATGAGCCGAAGGCAGACGTTTAACGACTGAGCCACCCAGGCGTCCCTGGAGCCAACTTTAAAAAAAAAAAAAACAACAATGCTGCTTATAATAGTATCAAAAATATGAAATACTTAGGGATAAATGTGACAAAAGATGTGAACAACATGTCTACTAAAACTTAAAAAATACTGTGGAGACATATTAAAGAAGACTGAAATAAAGGGAGTAAAACACCTCTTTCATGGGTTGGAGGACTAAATATTGTTAAAATGTCGATTTCCTCAACTTGATCTATAAATTCAATGTAACCCCAACAGGCTTATTTTTTTACAATGGCAATGCAGACAAGAAAGGATAGTCTTTCCAACAAATGGTACTGTAACAACTAGATAATCACATTCAAAAACGTAACAAACCAAACTCGAATCAAACCATATACAAAAATTAACTCAAAAGGGATTGCAGACATAATGTAAAATTGGAACTATAAAACTTTTAAGAGGTAACACAGGAAAAAATCTTTGCCACCTTGGTTTAGGTGAAAACTTCGTAGACACAATGTAAATAGCACAATCTGTAGAAAAATAAGGAATAAACTGTATTTCATCAAGATTTAAAACTTCATTTTCTTTTTTTTTAAGATTTTATTTATTTATTTGAGAGAGAGCGAGCACAAGCAAGGGGAGGGGCAGAGGGAGAGGGAGAAGCAGGTTCTCCCCTGAGCAGGAAGCCTAACACAGGGCTCGATCCCAGTACCCTGAGATCATGACCTGAGCCAAAGGCAGATACTTAACTGACTGAGCCAACCAAGCACCCCTCAGCAGTTTCATAAATTGTTAAATATATACCTACCATTTGATCCAGCCATTCCACTCCTAAGAATTTATCCAAAAGAAAAGCAGGTATGTGTCCATACAAAGACTTACACACAAATGTTCATGGCAGCATTATATGTAATAGCCAAAAACTGAAAACAACTGAAATGTCCATCAACAGATGAATGGAAAATAAATTGTGGTATGACCATACATTATGGCTAAGTATAACAATAAAAAGGAGTTAACTATTGATATATGCAACAACATGGAGGAATCTCAAAATAATTAAACTGAAAGAAACCACAAAAAAAGAATATATACTGTATTACTCCATGTATTGGAAAAAAAATGTAAACTATAATAACAGAAGGCAGATCAGTGGTTGCTTGGGGGAAAGGGGTCCAGGAAGGGACAAAAAGAGGTATTATAAGGGTGCATGAGATATATTCCCTATCCTGATTGTGCTACTGTTTGCATATACATATGTGTGTGTCAAAACTTCTGAAAATATAAACTTGAAATATTTATTTGCAACTAAAAATGAAAGACAGTCATTTTCCTATAAAACTTTTCACTACGGCCTTTTAACAATTTCATCTCTTGGTTTTAAATAAAATTGTATGCAGATTTTGACATAATGTTTGAATTAAATTTAAAGTTCTCAAGGATATAGGATGAAGAAAGAACATAAAAATATAGAGGAGCACATTAAAAGAAACTTAGATCTATTATCAATCAATATTTAGTCTTCCTCTTAAAAGAAATTCAACTGACAATTTGGTTCAATAAAATTACTCATGACTCAACTTGTTAGTAAAAAACCATAGTACAAAGGTTATTATTACATTATCTTGAAGCAATAGCAAACATTTATTGATCATTTTCTACATTAATAGAGACTGTAAGAAGATTAGTTTGACTGTATGGATAGCAATAAGCCACTCATCAACAACAAGCCAAAAAGGATTTTTGATGGGGCATGGTGATTTTCAATTCTACGCACAACTGCAGAAAACAAGAAACTTCTTTATGTATTCCTCTGTTCCCTCCTGTACCCCCTCTCCTACTTTGATATTTTCTATTATAATCCCTCCCTTCCCAGACAAAGCACCTAATAACATCTACAACTCAGTTTTATCTTCTCCAGCCTACGCAACCTAGTTCCTTCAGTCATTCCTGAAGAAAATAAAACAAAAACTCAAGTATATACAATACAAAAGCACAAATTATAAAAGAAAATTGGATAAATTGGACCTAAAAATTGAAATTTTTTGAGCTTCAAAAGATATCAAGAATGTGAAAAGACAACTCACAGAAGGGAAGAATAGATCTACAAATCAGATATCTGATAAGGGGCTTGTGTTCAGAAAATATAAAGAACTCTTAAAACTCAATAATAAAAAGATGACCCAAGTAAAAAGCATATAGACATTTCTCCAAGAAAGATACACAAATGGTCAGTTAGAATATGAAAAGACACACAACATCATTAGTCATTAAGAAAATGCAAACCAAAACCACAATTAAATACCACTTCACAGGGGCGCCTGTTGGTTAAGCAACTGCCTTCAGCTCAGGTCATGATCCTGGAGTCCTAGGATCCAGTCAGCATCAGGATCCCTGCTCAGCAGGAAGTCTGCTTCTCCCTCTGACCCTCCCCCCACTCTCATTCTTTCTCTCTCAAATAAATAAATAAATAAAATCTTAAATAAAAATAGTTAAAAAAACACCACTTCAAATCCACTAGGATGGCTATAATCAAAAAGACAGATTATGACAAGCATTTACTAAGAATTTGAAGAAAATGGAACCCTTATACATTGCTGTAGGAACGTAAAATGGTACAGCCACTTTGACGAAAAGTCTAGCAATTCCTCAAAAGGTTAAATATAAATTTACCAGACTCAATAATTCTACTACTAGATATATACCCAAGAGAAATGAAAACGTCACACAAAAACTTGTACATGAATGTTCACAGCAACATTACTCATAACTGCCAAACAGTGGAAACCCAAATTTCCATCACCTCTTGAATGCATAAACAAAATAAGATATATCCATTCAATGGAATATTATTCGGCAACAAAAAGGAATGAAGATACTGATAAAACTTGACTAATACTTGATAATACTATGGTAAGTGAAAGAAGCCAGCCACAAAAGCCCATATACGGTATGATTCAATTTATATGCCCAGAATAGGCAAGTCTAGAGACAGAAAATAGATTAGCAGTTGCCTACAGTTGGGGGGCGGGGTGGTGTGACTGCTAAAGAGTACAAGGTTGCTTTGGGGGTGATAAAAAGGCACTAAAATTGATTGTGATGATGGTTGTACAACACTGTGAATATATTAAAAATAACTAAATTATATACTTTAAATGGTTGAATTGTGTGGTATGTCAATTATATTTTAATAAAGCTATTCTATATACAAAAATCAAATTACTGGGGGCGCCTGGGTGGCTCAGTTGTTAAGTGTCTGCCTTCGGCTCAGGTCATGATCCCAGGGTCCTGGGATCGAGCCCTGCATCCGGCTCCCTGCTTGGCGGGAAGGCTGCTTCTCCCTCTCCCACTCCCCCTGCTTGTGTTCCCTCTCTCACTATCTCCCTTTCTGTCAAATAAATAAATAAAATCTTAAAAAAAAAATCAAATTACTGGTATGCTTTGCAGGTGTCCAAATGACCAAAGTGACCCCAATCTCAGTTCTTTTGGGTGACTGATATGGATACTGGGAAAGAGACAGTCTCTCTTTTCTAAATCTCAAACTGTATGTAAATTTGGCTACTAACTTCCAAGGCCAAACTTTGGAACCCTGTCATTAGTCAGAACAGATCTATCAGTAATATTTTCAAATCTATCATTTTACTTTTGGAATATTATCCCTAATTCTTTCAACTGTCTTACTTTCTTATTCTTATATTTACTCCTTGACCCCTAAGATCTCTATAATCCCTTTACTCCTCCTGCACTGAGGCTTCTGGTTTCATTTCATTCCTCCTAGATCCCATGATTCATCACCTCAACTATTATCTTGCTAAGATTACTTTGACCCCTGTCCTTCTACTAAACATGTCCTATAATTGTAACCATGACTCAAAAACACTTTCCTTTCTCTGCTCCTTCAGCCCAAATTTGGGCATTGCTAAAAGAAAAAAAAAATCAAGCAATTATGCCATTACAAATATTTGGTATGCATTCCAAGTTATAACCCCCAAATCTATTCAGCAATCCCATCCAAGGTCAGCTCTATCTCTCACACCCTTCTGCTTCCTCTGCCATTTTCCACAGTGGCTATTCCAAATCTTCAGCTATCTTTAAATCTCCAACCCCTGTCCCACATCTCCTTCTCTTCCACTTTGTTTTATTTTATTTTTTATTTTTTTACAATTTTATTTATTTGAGAGAGTGAGAGAGAGAGAAAGAGCATGAGCAGGGAGGAGAGACGGGGGGGAGCACAGAGAGAGAGGGAACACAAGCAGCGGGAGTGGGGGAGGGAGGAGGAGGCTCCCAGCTAAGCAGGGAGCCCAATGTGGGACTCGATCCCAGAGCCCTGGGATCACGACCAGAGCCGAAGGCAGATGCTTAACCAACTGAGCCACCCAGAAGCCCCTCTCCCACTTTGTTTTAATTGGGTTTCCCCAGAAGTAGACCAAGAGACAAAGATTTGAGTGTTAAGTACTTTTTTGAGAAAGTGACACAGGACAGGAAGGCAGACAGAAGCAAGTTATTATTAAGGGTAACTGGAGCTTCACTCCACAAGGGAACTCTGGGAGCCAGGGTGGAGCCACATGTCTCAGAGATATCCCCACCAAAGGGTGAAGAGTATTTGTCCATCAACTCCAATCAGTCATTTGTTCAGGGCTGCTCCCAGGGAAAGGGCCATTAATTATCTGGCATCTCTGGCTTGCCTTGCTCTCTGGGCAAAAGCAGGTTACAAATGCCAAGATAAATCCTCAAAGACACAGATGTTAGGCCTCACAGAATTCCCCACTTTCCACAACACAGGATTCCTACAAAATATTTACAGCCGCACTCATTCTTATCTCTTCCTCTACAATATCAGAACAGGTATCTGGCACCCTTCCTGTTCATAGTTAACCCATTCACCTGTGTTGTGGGACCCTATGGTGACTACAACTAGTATACTTTGCTGGGGTTTTTTCCTGCCCAGAATGATTTCCCTCCTTTTTGTGCTTTTTTTGGAGAACTCTTCCTCACAACTTTGAGTTTCCCAGTGGTATGAACTGATATATTTCCTTTCTTGCTTGTACTAGTTTGACGTGATTTCTCTCACATGCAACTCAAATGGCACAATTACAGGCCCATGACTTCCTTAAAAATCTATTCATTTAACAAATATTTATTGCCTGCCTACTATGCATCCACTCTGTACCAGATGGGGATTCTGATTCCAAGGAACTCAAAATCTGGTGATGGAGACCGAGAAAGATGTGAATAATTCCCATAGCGTAAAAAAGGTTCTGAGAGGGGCATCTACAATTATCCCTCCTCTCTTTTCAGTTCTCTTCAACCTCTCCCTCTTCAGAATCTCCATTCCCTTTTCATATATTCTCTTGTCTCTACTCCCTTACAAGGCTCCCTTAACATTACAGTCTCCCTCTACCTATTGCCATATATCTTCAGTCAAGCTTTTAAGAAGAGTTAGGTATTCATACTGTCTCCAGATCCTTATTTCCCACCCAAAAGTCAATATACTGCAACCTGGCTGAAATGTATTAAATTTACTGTTAATAAAACAAATGATCTCCTAAATAGAAAATCGAGTGGATAATTCAGTCATCATCTGTGGACATTTGACACTGATGAGCTCAAGCAATCTTCCTCATGAAGTATTCTCCTAAGGCTGATTTCCAAAATTCCACATTCCTAAACTTCCATTCACCTTTCTGAAATGTTTTTCTCAGTCTTTGAGAGCCCTCTTCCTCAGCCAAACCCTTACATGGTGTGCATTAAGGAACACTATTTCCCATCCTTTTTTTTTTTCAATATTTCCTCTCTGGTGAATCTCCTCCATGCCCATGGATATAATTTCTATCTTTCTAAGGACAACTCTGAAATCTGTACCTCCATGTATACTTTGGTGGTGGTTCTCTCAGGTTCCCACTGTTCTTGTATATATATCTCTATTAAATCAGCTATTATGCGGTATTCTAATTATCAGCATGCCTTTACCCATTAGAATGTCAGTGTCCTGAAGTCAGTGTGACAGGCAGGGTGGATGCACAATAAATACGTATGTAAATTGCTGAATAATTCTCTCATTTCCTGGATCCTGTCAGATAATCTGCAGTATATCCCACTAATAGATTATAAAATTAATTCCAGATAATAATCCATTAATTTCTCACCTTGTATCTTCTTTGTGTCCTCACTTTCCATACTCGTCTGTATTCTTTTTCCTTATATTTCATCTATAAGATAAAGGTATTCTCTCAATTTAAATCAATGTTTGAGAATTCCAGAATTATAAATGCAAAGGGGTAGGGAAAAATAGTTTTCCTGAAGCCAGAGAGCAGGGACTGAATCTACAACTTATTGAATATGTGATAAAGGTTATACTTAAGTTCTCTGAGGCTCAGTTTCCTCATCTGCAAAATAGGAAATTCCTACTTTATAAAGTTGTTACAAGAATTAAATTTAAAAACATACATAAACACACGTGGCATTCTTAAGTACTACAGGCATTCAACACATTTTATTAAATAAACATAAAAATGGTTGGTTAACTGAATCTAACTGATCCTCTTCTGGTACTCCTCCCTTATTTTTTCTCCTGTAAATTTTCATCCCATCATTTCTGATTGGTCACCCCTCCATGAACCAGAAATTTAACACACACACACACACACACACACACACACACTTAAGAACTCCATTTCTCTACACAAGCTAAGTTTAACATTAAAATATTTTTTCTAACAACCCATTTTTTTCAACATAGTATTCTACTATTAAGCTAAAATCTTTGTTTATATATCACTTGTTAGAAGAATTTTTAAAATAACCAGCAACCCTAATATGGCATCTCATATGCTAAACTGATTTTTTAGAAAAATCTCTGAGAGTCCGATTAACTTCTTAGAGTCATCAGGACTCACAGAACTCTAGAATTCTTATTTACTCCAACACTATAAGGTTAAAGGGAGATAGCTACTTATCCTTTCTATTTTTTTCTCATTCTCAGAATGGAAATAAAATTCCCAAACAAAAAAATAATAAATGTGAGAATCTTTTAAAAGGTAATATATAAATATACACCAGTTTTGCCATTTTTTTAACCTAGATATTCCGTAATGATGTAATGTATGGTGATTAACATAACATTTAAAAAAAACCTAAATAAAAAAAAGAATGGTTAGGTACATTATGGTACACTCACAGGATACTGTTACAAAGATACTGATGTTTGCTTGAAATGTTTAATAACAAGGCAAAATGCTTATGCTACAATTAATCTAAAAGAACAAAACTCAAACTTTTATCTACAGCACAATCCCAATTTTGTAGAAGCAAACATAAAATAAAACTACATAGAAAACAACAACATATTAACACTTGTCTTTAGCTTGTGGTTCTATGGTGTCTTATCCCACTTTTTTCTATTTTTCACAATTTTTATAATAATAAAAGCTTCTAACATTCAAGTCCTATCATAGGCAAGTTTGTGTTCTGTAAACCTTATAAATATTACCTTTTTAGTTTTGCAACAATCCTAAGAGGGAGCTATCAGGATGAATTCTGATGAGGAGAGGGTAAATAATTTGCCCAAGTTCAAACAGAGAGTATGTGCCAGAGCTGGAATGGGCACCAAGAAAATCTGAGGCCAACCCCTACACTCTTATCCTCTATTATACTGTCTCCCATATGTAAACATGCATTACCTTTGAAAAAATGGGTTAGGATTTGGCAAAGGAAGACTAAATTAAAAAAAAAAACAAAACTTATAAAAACGGACTACTATACCATATGTGGAAATTTTTGCTTTGTGAAGGAATTTAAGGACTATTTCCTTAGTTTTAATTAGTCAGAATTATTCTGCTTTAAATATGATTTTATTTTTAAAAAGGAACATAACTTTAAAATCTAAACATCTTGAAACTGAAACTGACAAAATACACTACCTTCTATTCCCCTTGTCTTTCCTATACTTTTTTCAAATAAATGGTCACTTTGCACACAAAAAATAGAGTTTTCCAACTACCTTGTAGCGTTAATACAAGTCATCTATTTACTAGCTAAATGCTTTAGAAACAACCACAGCAAAGGACAGACTAGAACTTTCAAGGAATTGATAATTATATAATTACATTTTAAATTACATAGTCTCTTCCCCAACACAAAAGTATCTGTTCAATAAAGCAGACAGTGTTTTCAGTAATTTAGTGAAGATGCAAATTGTAATGAACAAGATTTCAAAATTATCTGCTGTGTTCTCACAGAGGGGAGAAATGATTTTTCCAGGTAACAGGAAGAAACCATCCCACTTACAGGTTTAATTTAATCTACTCCCCAAAACAGTACTGTTAAATTCAAATTTAAGCAAGAAAACTAGCTGAAAATTACTCTGTCCCTAGGCCTAGAAATTGTTAACATGAAAAGCTTTTTTGAAATGTAAATATTACCCCCAAAATATCAGAACGATAAATGGCATCTTCCTGTATAAGGCTGGCAGGCTGAAAATCCCACCGTTAATTGCCATCACTAAGGACAGCGGATACCCAGCTTGGACTCATACATTGTGGAAATTTTCCTTACAGTAGGAGAAGCGAGGGAGAAAGGGCCAATATGCAAATAAATTAGCTTTTACAATAGCTTAAATAGATTGAGAAATAACAGATGCAGAAAAGCGAGGATACCACGAGTGAGTTCACACTACATTTACATTCCCAGACTCAGGAGATCGGAGCAGCTGTTTCACATTCATCCTCATCACCTATTCCCAGTTTGCACAGGCGGGCGATGCCCGATCTTTCCAAGGAGGGAAGTCTACCTCCACCCTGTGTGCCGCATTAACACCAAGACCTGGCTCACCTAAAGAGCCGGGAGATCTCCTTTTGAAGAGCAGAGGTCTTCCCCAGGCCCTCTCGTCTTAGGCCAGGGCTCTCCAACTCCTGCCAAGGACGGGATGCTGGTTAAAGGCGCGAGTCCCGGCCCTTCACGGGGGATTCACCAGCAGCGGGTGCGCCCAAGGGCTGCAGCCCACGTGGCCCGGCCCACGGTCTGAGAAAGGGCCTCACCACTGGTTCCCGCCCCTCCCATAACCGGAATCACCCATTCTCAGGTACAATCAGGGTCGGAAACTGCCGGGCTCCAGATGCCCGACTACATGGTACGTGACAATTCTCTTTCTGCCACCAGCTGCTGTGGGGACTGCAGCCGGGGGTCTGCTGCCTCCTCAGGGAAACCCGTTCCCGCCAGCTCAATCCACCCCCTCACGTCAGGGGGTTGGGAAGGGAAGAGCCGGGCGTCCCGCATCCCAGCCGCTGTGAGGGCAGACCCGGGCCTACCGGCGGCAGCCCACCTTCCACAGGAGGCCACAGCCCGTCCCGGGCGGGACCCGGGCAGGATCCGAACGCGCAGGGGGCAGAGGCTGTGACCTTTACCCTCAAGTCGCAGCGCGCTGGGATTCCGCCCTTTCTCCCTCTCCGCCAGCCTACAACGACGCCAGACTCGGTTTCCCGCCCAACGGGTCGGGCCCACTTCCGTGGGGCGGGACTTCCGGCCGCGCCTACCCGGTCTCTCTCCGCTGACCGCCGCTCCCCGATATTACCAAGGCGGGTTCCGGGTATGAAGAGGGTGGATGCAGTGTCATTGAGTGGTGGAAAGTCACAATGTGAACGGGAAATCCTCTGATCTCATCGCCCCCAGTTTTTAGGGCTTTCTTTGCTCAGAGGGGCGTTGGCAGCAAGGAGTCAGGAGAGCAGGCTCCGGGACGATGAGGCTGGTTCTGGGAATTGTGGCTGCAGGGCACAACATGGGTTAAGAGGCCATCCGAGCACCAAGCCTGGCCTCATTCCTCTCTCCCAAGCTTCCCGTCCTTTCTAATAAAACTATACATCTGAAATATGTCTTTTCAAATAGTGATGGTCCTAAGATGTCCATAGCTAAAATCTATGCATGGCTTAAATTCATTGCTTAAGACCGTAAGAAAAAAACCTATTTTAAACTGTTTTTAATGAAACACAAGAGATTTTTTTTTTAAGATTTTATTTTTAAGTAATCTCTATACTTAAGGTGGGGCTTGAACCTACAATCCACAGATCAAGAGTCGCATGCTTTAGGGACTGAGCCAGCCAGGCATCCCACAAGGGATTTTAGCAAACCAGAAATAATGAACTCAATTAAAAATGGATAGCTTTTATTCTCTGAGAAAACGACTGCTTCCTTCCCCCACAAAGAACAAGACTACATTATTACAAATGAGAAAAATGTTTATTAAGGAAACAATTTAACAGTTCTCCCTTACTAGAATTTTACAAACTAGAGCACAAGCTGAAGGCAATTACAGTTTAAATCATTAACACACTACATAGGATGCTTATTCTACAACTGGAAAGTTGCTGAAGTTTGTGACATGCCACTATAAATGTAAGTATTATTAAAAATTACAAATTGTTTGGTGATTATTTTGATAACCTCCTGAGCAGCAGCTCCTGCAAGGAAAAAGGAGAAAAGCAAATCTTTGAAAAAGGTAAATTTCAAGTTATATAAAAATATCCAATTCTGTAAATAAACCTTTCCTTTCCAAAAGCAAAGGTGTTTAAAAATAAGCCAAAACAGTCATAGCTTACTGAAGCACATCAAAATCAGGGACTGCAATTTTTTTATAACTATATTATTACAGGAACAAATTTGGTCCTATACATTCACACTTTGGGATATTATGCCACAATTTAAAAGAATGAAGTATTATGGTGGTTTTGAATGGCTGACGATATTTTTTTTTTAAAGATTTATTTATTTATTTTGAGAGAGTGAGAATGAGAGAGAGAGAGAGAATACATGGTGGGGGAGGGTCAGAGGGAGAAGCAGGCTCCTCGCTGAGCAGGGAGCCCAATGCGGGACTCGATCCCAGGACTCCAGGATCATGACCTGAGCTGAAGGCAGTCACTTAACCGACTGAGCCACCCAGGCGCCCATGGCTGACGATATTTTAAGTAAAGTCAAAACAGTAGTATAATTGATAGTGCTTTTTAAAAAAATACATATAGACAGAAAAGATTCTCGAAGATGATCCTTATGTTACATGTAAATTTTACCCTGTGCCTACTTTACTTTAATAAAATGGAATAAAGGTGTATTTGTTCTTTTTTTTTTTTTTAAGATTTTATTTATTTATTTATTTGAGAGAGAGAGAGCATATGAGAGGGGGAAGGGTCAGAGGGAGAAGCAGACTCCCTGCTGAGCA